CGGGGCCCGCCAGCCTGGTCCCGGGAAGAGGCGGAGGGCTGGGTGGCAGCGGGTGGCTGGCTTGAGCTGTGCCAGGTGCAGGGTCCGCTGGCTGGGTGCTGGCAGGCTTGCACCTGGCATGGGCACCGTAGCCAGCTCGTGCCCCTTTAAGGGGTCCGGAGCCGGGAGGGGGGCACACGAGTTTCCCTGGTGTTGGCCAGAGTGGCCACCAGGGAAACCTGGGGAGGGCTAGCCTCCCACTAGTTCAAATTAAGGGGCTACACACCCCTTAATTCGAACTAGCTAGTTTGAACTAGGCTTAGTCCTCGTGGAATGAGGATTACCTAGTTCGAACTAAGCGCTCCGTTAGTTTGAATTAAGTCCGAACTAACGGAGCGCTAGTGTAGCGCCTATGAAAGTTAAATCGAACTAACATCCGTTAGTTCGAATTAACTTTGTAGTGTAGACATACCCCTTGGGACGCAGTGCTTTGTCCAGAGATCCTGCCCTGCTCACTTAGGCACACAGGGCCTCTCTTCCACTGAGATAGCCACCACCCAGCTCTCTGCTAGTGATTACTGAACAGCTGCTACTGTCTCTCCACAGCTGCCTCTGCTGCCTTTGAGTATTTAATCATCAATTCCTAGGAAATACCAGCTCTTCCCTCAGTGAGAAGCCCTCCTCTGGGAAGCAGCCAGCCAGGGAAGCAGCACATGTTGGTTTACTTGCCCATTGTTATGGAGATTCTGTGAATTTGTCCTCTCCCACAATACCTCTGGGCACCTGTGAGACTATTGGCAATCACTCATAATACACGAGACAGGACTATGCAGCACTTTAAAGACTAACAAGATGGTCTTTAAAGTGCTGCATAGTCCTGTCTCGTGTATTATGAGTGATTGCCTAATACATGGCAGTTTGGAGCAACCCTAGGAATTCTGGGATGTATGCCCAGAAGGAACTGCTGTTATCACAAGCCAATGAAGAGCTTGAATAGATTTGGGGTGTAACCATAAAGCAACAAAACATGAGTGCCAACACTGGGAGGAATTGGATGCAGTGATCAGTGTTTCCCACAAGTGAGAGAACTAACATGAGTTAGCTGCAGGTGAGGTAACTGCAGTCTAGACACAGTGCAACATGAAAGGCCCCAGGCCCTGAGCCAGCAACCAGCCCTCCTCTTTTGAGGCCAGCATCTCTCCCTTGTCAGAGAGGCCTGGAATTGTACTTACAATTGACACTGACATGTTCTTCTTTCAATCAAGTCTCGCCTGGCTCGTACCATCCTTTCAGCCCGCCGCTGCCAGGAGAGAAAGGAGTGTGGCATGAGCCCTCATCTCTGTGTGCAAAGCTCTTCCCTACAAAGTAGCTGTTGGTTTCAAGCTCTCTGCCTGCCCTGACTGTGCAGATGTTATCTGTCTCGCTCCTTAGAGATGTCGCTGGGATATGGCTGCTTTGGCTGTAACTTCCCCAGGGGGTGGCGGCTCCTCCTTGTCTCCCACTTGCTCCTCTGAAGGTGGGAATCCTCAGAGACTCAGCCTGACTTCCCGTCCTTAGCTGTCCATTGGGACTTGGGGACTCACCCTTCTTCGCTGCCGGGCAGTACAGGTGAAAATACTCAGGCCTGCAAGGAGAAGCAGCACCGGGCTGACTCCAACTCCTGCCCAGATTGGCACGTAGTTCTGTTCATCTGCCTCTACTGTGGAGAGAGAGCAGTGAGTGAGGGAGAGAGACAGAGGACGAAGGAGATGCAGGGACAGACATAGAGGGAGACCGAGGCCTGGCCTACACTAGACCAAGCAGAATGACCTAGAGTACACAACTCCCACTATGCAAGATGTGCAGCTGGAGTCGGCTCCCATAAAGCCGAGCCGCGGTGGTGTCCACACAGCGGGAGGCCGATGGACACACACACTCCCTCCACTTCCCTTGCTCTTTGGAGAAGGAGGCGAGCTGGATGCCAGCGGGGGCTGCCCTCAGCATTCACTGTAGGGTCTATACTAGACTCGCTAAATGGAAGACTAGAAGATTGACCCCCGGAGCATCAATCTTCTTGTGAGTGTAGATGTGCCCTGAGAGAGAGCCAGCCTGGGCTGTGACAGAATCTCCCTACCCACAGTGTATTCAGTGCTGATCATCTTGCTGTTGTTCATGCTGAGGCTGCACCTCCAGAGCCCCACACTCCTGGTCTTCACCTTCACCTCAGTGTCTCCTGGCCCCTGACATGCCTTTTCAGTCCCATTCACATGCTCCCAAAGGAGCTGGGCCATGGCTGGGACAGCAACTGAGAGTTTGCAGAGTAGCGTCACATTCACCCCTTCGGAGAGCGGCCCGACAGGCTCAGCAGAGACTGCAAAGAGACCAAGGGGGAGACATGCACATGGGGGAATGGAGCAGCCTTTCTTTAGGGTCTGAGACAGTCTCAGGGGTTTCCACAAGAGATGCTCCTCTCTGGGGGGCCACGTCCCAGACTCCAGCATCACTTCCCCGGTAGTGTCCACAGAGGCCACAACTTCCTCTCACCTTTCATGACCACCAGGTGTATGTCCTTCTTCACACTCCCCTGCTTGAGAGTGAGCTGGCACCGATACCATCCCGCATCCTGGAACTGGACTTTGGGCATCTTCACTTGCAGGTTCGCTGTAAACTGCAGGTTGGCCATTTGCTTAGGCAAGCGCAGACTACCAGACGAGAAGTTAAAGTTAAACTTCTCCCTGTACTCGCTCTCTCCTTCTGATTTCCACATCAAGGCTCCCCGGATGTTCTTCAGCTTTGTCATCTCCTGCAGGATATTGTTCATTTGGTAGGAGAAGTTGGCACTGGAATTAACAGCCGTGTAGACCGTCTCCTGGTTCAAATTATGAAAACCTGAATTCAGAGCAGAAAGAGGAGAACTTCTTGAAATGTGGGGAGCAACAGCCCTATCGTCAATCTGGCAGCCTCACAATGGAGCAGGGTGGAGCTAGTACATCCCTCTGCCTAGCCCCACCTGTGCTACTGTGCTCAATTCTGGAGGAGCTCAGAGAAGAGCCACAAAAGTTCTGGCCACAAGGTTTGAGTTCTGGGGAGGATTCAAAGAGTTCAATCCATACTGCTAAGCAAAGCTACAAGGGGGCGAAGCGGAATGAGACTTATCTGCATGAGTCTGAGATGCACAATCCCCGGGGGAAGGGAACTATTTAGGAGAACAGGGAGGGAACAGGGTGAGGCTGAGGGAAAGGAAAGGAACTCAGCATACAGATTCCAGTGCTGAAGGCTCTGGGAGCCTGGGGATCCAGAGAGGAAGGCCCTGGTGCCACACTGGCCAAAACTCTAGGAACTAGGAATCCAGGTAATGGACTGGGGGAGTAACATTTCCCAGGCCTGGGTGGGAGAGGTTGGGATCTGTTTAAATTTCTCCACCATCTTTGGCATTTTCTAAGCACCTGTCTGTGAAAAGGATGTTAGGGCCTGGCCTGTGTATGTCAAATGAGCACTAATTTAGCTGTAAGTGTAAAAGGAAGGCAGCATTGTCAAGATACAGGAGACGTAAACGAAAAACCAGAATTTAATTGGATGACCAATAATAACCCCGCTTTTAGGGAAGTAAAAGTAACAAAAACAGGAAAAGCAACAAAGTGCTGATAACCGCAAATAAGAAGTAGAAAAAAGTAAAATACAACTCCTAAAAAGGCAGAACGAGACAACAAAAACTAATGTCAGCATAGTCAGGCGAGAGGAAAGATACTGAAACAGGGCATAAGAGGTTGAACTAAACAGACCAAAAATGGATGCGTTGTGAATCCAAAAAAAGCCAGGTCTGATCAACCAGGGCTCCCTCCCCGGTGCTGAATCTCGCTGCTGCTTGTAAGCTCCGAAAGTTGCAACGAAAAATCCAAAAGGAAAGACATAAAGAAAAGAATATCTCCTGAATCTAAACAATGCTTCTATCCGTCTTAATGTAAGTAGTATATAGGTATGTCTGATTACTCCACAAAGGGTACATCTAAACTACATGGCTCCGTCGACGGAGCCATGTAGTTTAGATGTACCCTTTGTGGAGTAATCAGACATACCTATATACTACTTACATTAAGACGGATAGAAGCATTGTTTAGATTCAGGAGATATTCTTTTCTTTATGTCTTTCCTTTTGGATTTTTCGTTGCAACTTTCGGAGCTTACAAGCAGCAGCGAGATTCAGCACCGGGGAGGGAGCCCTGGTTGATCAGACCTGGCTTTTTTTGGATTCACAACGCATCCATTTTTGGTCTGTTTAGTTCAACCTCTTATGCCCTGTTTCAGTATCTTTCCTCTCGCCTGACTATGCTGACATTAGTTTTTGTTGTCTCGTTCTGCCTTTTTAGGAGTTGTATTTTACTTTTTTCTACTTCTTATTTGCGGTTATCAGCACTTTGTTGCTTTTCCTGTTTTTGTTACTTTTACTTCCCTAAAAGCGGGGTTATTATTGGTCATCCAATTAAATTCTGGTTTTTCGTTTACGTCTCCTGTATCTTGACAATGCTGCCTTCCTGCTGTAGGAGGGGTTATTGTTCTCGTATGAGTTTTATTGTTTTTTCTACTCTTTATTTGTATGGTATGCTGTCTTAAACAAATTGAAGATAGTGAATTGATTTAAATGAAAAACTAATTATAAAAGTAAATAGAAATAAAGTCTTTGGTTAACCCAAAAGGAAGTATTCCTCTGTCTGTGGTATCAAATCCTTTGAAGAACCAAACACTGGTTACCGAAACTGTCAAGTTCTGAAACTGAGATCCATGGCTTCTCCTACCTATCACCTTCACTTCATAGGGTATGGTCAGCGAAGCAGATGGAGATTTGATGTGGCACCTCCAGGTTCCACTGTCCTCAATCTGGAGGTTCTTTATCTCCAGATGGTGTCCACTGTTCTTCAGTTCTCTTCTCCCAGTGGCTGTCACTGAGCCCCGGTGGTTGTCAGACCAGGTGACAGTGGTACCTGGGACCTCGTTTATGCGCAGTATGAGATTTCCACCCTGCAGGAGAGATTCACTTGAAGATCTTGTAGCTGTGAAGAGAGAAAGAGCCCGTCCAGTGAGTCCTGTCCTCCACCAGCTTCCCCCAGGTTCGGAGCTGGGGTTCAAGCTAAGCTTGGGGATCTCAGTAGAAGGGCAACCTGGAGGCAAGGCTCTGGGCAGCTGGAGGGAAGGGATCTGCAATACCCCAGACAGAGGAGATGGGCAAAGGACAGGGACCTGAGAAGAGGGTTGTCACAACGTTCTTTGCACTCTCATCTCCTCACTGTCCGTGGTCACTCACCTTCAAACACCTGCAGCTTGATCTTGACTTTTGTGGCACCGACTGTGCAGCTGTACGTGCCGTTATCAGATTTCTCCAGCTTCAACAGTTTCAGGGAGAAGTTCCCCTTGGACATCTCATGCATATTTATTTCAGATCGACTGGCCATCGGAGCTCTGCCTGTGGGGAGAGTAAGAAAGCTGGGGGTGAAAGCTGCTCTCTGGGGGAGGGAGGTTCCCTAGCCCTGTATGAGGGCCAAGGGACGGTTCTACCTTTCAAGACTCGTCCCCGATGCTGGATCACAACTTGGTCATTGTACTTCCAAGTCACGTCATCCTTTTGGGCTTGGTCAGTGCAGGGCAGGATCATCTGTTCCCCAATAACACCAAACACAGTTGTCCCTTCCTCAGCCATAGCAGAGATCAGACCTAAAAGAGACCCCAAAATAATGGATGGAGGAACAGTTATTTCAGTGACAAAATTAATACCCTCTTTCCATCAAATGGATCCCAAAACTCCCAATCCCCTGTATACTTCCCGGGGAGTCTCCCCTGGTTTTGCTTGCTCTTTTCCTTCTTTCAGTCTTCCCCAAATCTCCAGTCTCCTCATTCCAGCCACCTCAACTCTTTTCTACAACATTTGTCTGGTATAGCTATCAGTCACAGCAGTGGCTTGAAAAGCCTTAGGCTGTGTTTACGCTATACAGAAGATCAACGCTGCTGCATTCGATCTGCGGGGTTCAAATTAGCGGGTCCAGTGAAGACTCACTAATTTGAACTGAGAGGACGCTCCCATCAGTGCTGGTACTCCTGGTCCTGTCAGCTTCCCCTGTGTGGACAGCCCAAAAACATGATTAAGATATATTGCATCTCTTAAGCGGACTTTCCCCTTTAGTGTAGACCAGTGTATGTACATCTTGATTAAGTTCCAATACATGTGATTAAATGCGAAGGTTATATATTATTGTAGGCCTGGACTGTATGAAACCTCTCCAAGGGAGAGCTGTGATGTGAATCCCGGGAGCTGTTATGAGCTTCAGAGGACTGTACTGAATAATGAGCCAGACAAGAATGGGCTTTTGGATTGGTGGCAAGTGGTTTGTCTGAGGGTGGAGGGCTCCAGGGGAGGTGAATATGAAACCGCAGCCTTAGGAGGCTGTGCCCCAGTGAGGGGACCATCGTCTGCTACTCCTGGAGTCCCAAGAGCCAAGGCCCTAGGTAGCTAAAGAGGAGACAGAGGGTTGCCCAGAATCTGGTGGACAGTTCTGAGCGTGGGGTTTGAAGAACTGGCTCCTGCCAGAGTCCTTGCTGGAGGAGGGTTGCTCCCTGCTCATGTGACTGGTGTGTGTATAGGTTCTTTTGTGGTAGCCAGCTTTGTTCAGTGTTGCTCTGTCTTAGGGCGCATTGGTGTAGAAAGACCTGCCTGGTAACCGGGAACTGCTTCAAGGGCAGTCAATAGATCCTTCACTAGGGACTATTGAAGTCCAAAACATGCGTCCAAAACAATGGAAGAAAACACTCAAGACAAGCCTCCATAAGGCTCCTGCGGCAAAGGGGCAGCGTGGGGCTGCACTGTGCCTTTGTGCGTAGGAACTGTAAATCACCCCTAATTGGCCTCCCAGGGAGTCTTCCTTTGAACAGTGGGACAGTCCTAGCAGGAGACCCCTTGCTGGAAGCAGGCTGCCAGAGGCTGAGGTATGTTGGGGAGCAAGAAGAGGGAGGTTCCTCTGCCTCTTATTCCTGGCTGTTGGACCAGCCAGATGAGATAGGGCCATTTTCCAGGCTTCGTTTACCTTCTCCTGGCGGAGAGGCAGAAGTGGGAAATGGTGGGTGTGGGGCATTTCCTTAGGGCTTGTCCCTGTTTAATTGGACTGACTGGCAGCTGATTGAGTTTACCCCAGCAGCTTTTCTTGTACAGAGGGGGCCAGAGTTCCTGCCTCCTGCGTGGGATGTTATCACAAATTTCTCCCTGAGCCCATGTCTTCAGCAAGCTGCGGTTTGGCCTTCAAATACCACAAGTCAGGCCACTAAAAATCAGACTAGAAAAGCAGGAGATTTTCAATCTGCATCCAGTTCTTTCCCTGTTTTCTCTTTTGGCATCCTCAGGCCACACCAGAGGTGAAAGCAAGTGGATGCGCCCCAGTGTGCAGCTCCAGCAAGTGCTGGCTGGGGCATTCTGCTCTGCAGGAGGCAGGCAGGCAATCCAAAGGGGCTGGCTGGGGTGCGCTGTAGGGGAGGTGTACATGCTCCCAGGCGGGCTACTGGGGCTGTGTCCAGACTCAGGGGTTTTTTCGGGAAAAGTAGCCTTTTTCCAAAAAAACTTCACCTGCGTCTAGACTGCAGCCGCGTTCTTTCGAAATTAAATTGAAAGAACGCGGCTTTTCTTTCGACAGCGGTAAACCTCATTTCACGAGGAAAAACGCCTTCTTTCGAAAGTGCTTCTTTCGAAAGAAGGCGTTCTTGAATGTAAATAGGGCTTCTTCGAAAGAGAGCATCCAGACTCACTGGGTGCTTTCTTTCGAAAAAGCGGCTTGCTCTTTCGAAAGTTCCGCGTGCAGTCTAGACGCTCTCTTTCGAAAGAGGCTTGCAGTCTAGACATAGCCTGGGAGAAGTTGGCAGCAGCTGCTATCTGGCCACAGTGCCCGGCCCCGCTCCTGCTGGAAGGTGGGGTGTGGAATAGCCAATAGAGCCAATAGGTGCCATCTGGCCAGGCCATGGCTGGTGCCGCACCA